ACGGGGAAATTGACGGATTTGGAGAGAAAAGACCGTTACCGTTACGTTAAGGGTTGTGATCAAGAGATGCGCATGTGAGGCCGGGTGACACACTTGAGGGTTATTCTATTCAGCTTCGTAGAAGTTATGACTTTTGGGTTATTTTGATAGTGATTGGGCTGGAGACTTGGATGATAGAAAAAGTACTACTGGCTTTCTTTTCTATCTTGTAAATACTGCTTTTACATGGAGTTCCAAGAAAGAACCGATTGTGACGCTTTCTACGAAGCTGAGTATGTTGCATCGTGTGCTTGTCATGCAATCTGGCTTAGAAATTGAATATTGAATAAAGGCAAGGGAAAGATGGGGCATGATGAGGTCCCTCCAGGGGAGAACGGGTGCTAGTACAAGACAAGTCAGCAAAGTGGATATTCAATTAATTCTCGGCGTGTTTTTTTTGTTGTTTTTTTTTTCTTTTCTTTTCCATTCCCCCGTATGTTTTATATATATATATTTGTAAAAAAATTATATATTACTACAGTGCTTTCCACATAATTTTTTATATTTTTTTTTCTGGAATTAGTTTAGAAAAAATAATTAATTTTTTTATAATTTTTTTTGTATTTTGATATTGTTTTAATGTTAAAAATAATTTTTAAAAAATAAAAATATATATTCACCTCTTTGTTGTTATATTTTTATTTAATGATGTTTATATAGCCTTTTTTTTATGTTTTTGTTACATTAAAGTTGTTATTTAAGTTTGTTTTTTATATATAATGTTGTTTTAGCTTTTGTTTTATTCACGCTATGCATGTTAAAGCAAAAGTGTTTTATTCTGGATTTGTTAGGTTTGTTCATGCATAAAATAGGTTCAAAAAATTAATTTTGAATCCATGTTATGTGAACATATAATATGTTTTAATTTTATGTTGTTTTGGATTTGGTGTCTCTAACTTGATTTTAATATTTTAATATTTTTTATTAGTTCTTTTATTTAAACATGTTTGTTTATGATATCGTGACTTACTACAATAAAAAAAAAAAGAGCATGTTTTAGAAGCAAAAAAAACCCATTTCTAGGCTTGGCAATGGCTAAATTGTTTTATATTTTTTGGCAATATTCTTCATGTTCTTAAAAAGAACATTGTCTTAGCCTCTAGATAATGATCAATTTTGGTCCATTTATTTACAGATACACCTTCTTTGTGTATGATTAACCAATAATTTAATGTTTAGTCGCATCAATAACATGTTTAAATGATTTTTAATTAGTTTTGAACCAAAACTCATTTTAATTAAATCATTATGATTCATTACTAATTGAATAAATATAAATTAGATTATTGATCCTTGCATGACTTCATTGTGACCAAATCTGGTTCAATTTGGAACCCACATTGTTGGGTTCATTTTGGATATTCTTAGTGTTCTTTATTTTTTTTGTTTAATCTGTTTTATTCAAGAATTTTTGAATTTTTTTTAGGTGTTTCATCTATTTTTTAGCTTTTGTTTTGTTTTTTTTTTGGGTTATTTTTCAAGTCAAACTAGAATTTTAATTTGGTTTATGATTAAATCAAAAATTTCAGGTCTACCCAATAAAAAAAAGGGGTCAAAGGGTATGATACCCTATTTGATTTGCCATAATTTTTGTTAAAGGATTTTTTTAGTTTAAGAGTGTATTTGACAAACATCCTTTAAGCCTATTTTTGGTAATTTTATTATGAAAAACAAAATGAGTTTTTTTTTCAAACAAAACCTCAAAAATAAAAAATAAATTTTTGCCTATTTTTGGTAATTTTATTATGAAAAATAAAATGAGTTTTTTTTCAAACAAAACCTCAAAAAAAAAAAAATTTCTTGCATGTGGCTAAAAATCCTAAAGTTATTTAAGCATTTTTTTTTTTGAAAAATCTAAAACATGTTAACATGTTTTTCTTAAAAAATATTGTATGGATTTTATAACAAGTTTGTAAATTTTCAAAGAACTCTGGCCTGGATTTCAAAAATATCATTTTTTTTAATTTATTTTTTTAACAAACAAGATTATAAACTTATATGTAAGATATATTTTTTATATTAAATAAAAAGATAATTTTTTTGTTGGCATTAAAATGGTTAAGTTTTTAATCTTATGATATAAGGATCTCTTTACTTAGAATGACTTTTTTTAAATTTTAGACAAACTAAATGTTAGGAAAAAAAAATTTCTTAGTTTATATGAGATAAATAAATAATGAAGCTTACCTCAAATAAAACGTATTAGAGGTGTTAATATCTTTCCTTTACATAATCAGTTCAATTTACTATGCTCTAAAACTAATTGAGGTTTCTAATGACCAAAATACTATATGACAACTCTCATTCCTTATTTTTTTCTCTACTAATAAAAGAAAAGAATTCCTTATTCATGTCATCCACATCATTCTTGACTATCCCGATCCGGAAGGATGATCATCGTGACACCATACATGTACGATAGTATTAATGAGGGATATGTCTCTTCTACACATCATTAATATTGATGGAATAACGATAGGTCCTTAGAAAACTTTTATACACCTGGGGTTGTTAAGAAATAGATATTATTAACCATAACATTTTATGTAATGATTACAAGAAAAAACAAATGAAGTCCCTAAGCCCAAAGCCTAGAAAGATTATTAGCTCCATATCCATTTGGGCTTGTAATGATACCGAGTCTAAAGATATTAGGTTTGATAACTTGCTAAATTCATTTGTTTTTAGGTTTAGCATGTAACTAAATCCAAATATGTTAAGTTTAGCGGTCTGTCAAACCTACATGTTCTTGGACTCGATGCGTAACTGAGCTAAAGGATGTTGAATATAACAGCTCACTAGACTTACATGTATATGGGCTCGACCCGTAACTAAATTTAAAAATATTGAGTCTGGTATTTTATCAAATTCACATGTAATTAGATTCCACAAGTAACTAAGTCTAAACAACCGAGTCTTAGAAAATTTATTTTTATAATTCACTAAATTTATATATATCAAAGCTCAATAAATAACTAAATCTAAAAATATTAAATTATTACCGTATCATTAGCTATTTTAAACCTTGAATCGGGCAAAAATAACACATGCCTCCACATATATATATATCTTAGAGAAAAATATTAAAAAAACAAACAGTTGTTCAGCCATAGTTAAAGAAAACTGTATTCCACCATCAGTATCATTCTTACTGCATAAATTGTTACAAATTATTCTCAAACCGATATAATCTTATTCTTCAAAATAATATGGCAAACCATTCCTTTTTTCTTTTTATGAAAAATTGCTTAGATTTTGGAACAATTGATTTAAGATATGTTGTCTATCATGTCTTCAATTAGACGACCCAAAGAAGAGAATGAAGATCCACCATCCTTCAAGCTTTTCTCACTTATTCTACTCATCTCTTTTACCTTCTTTCTCACTTCGCTATCCTCCTCCATGACATGTTTTATTGCTTTCACTATATCATCACTACTCACAATTATCTCATTATCACCAAGAAAATCCCTCCAGTAATCCATTTTGATTTCCACAGCTAATCCTAAGTCAATCACCATTTGGAAAGCATTAAATTGTTGCTCTGCGTATAGTGGCCATGTAGCAACTGGAACACCAAATCTTACACTCTCTAGTATAGAATTCCATCCACAATGCGATGCAAATCCTCCTACAGCTGGATGAGCTAAAATATCCACTTGGGGAGCCCATCCAATCACCTTTCCGATCTCAAGTGTACGATCCAAAAATCCTTCAGGTAAAATTTCTTGAAAATTTAGATAATCACTTGGTGATTCTATTTTACCTTTCTGTGATGAGGGTTTACGCAAGGACCACAAAAACCGATGTCCACAATGTTCTAGTGCACAAGCAATCTCTTTCACCTGTTTTCCACAAAAACTTCCCCAACTGCCGAAGCATAGGAACATAACTGATGATGGAGGTTGATCATCAAGCCATTCCATAATGTCCCTATATTTGTTGCTCTCATCCGACCTCAAATCACGACCATCTGCTACATGTTTCACCATGGGTCCAACGGGATACACGGGAGGGTTTTTACCATTGGAAAGAGAGTGAACCGCATAAGATTCGAACTCTAAAAATGTATTTACCAAGATACTCCTAGTTTCCTTCAATGTTCTTGCATGTTCAAGAAAAATAGCGAGCAAGTCTTCCCTGAACACCATCGAAGGCAAAAGTTTAGCAGGAAGTGGGTTCGCCAGACCCGGAACTTCTAACAGAGCATCCGAGTTCTTGAACTCAGTGAGGTTCACTCCCTCACCATCGTGAAGAGCCTGAAGATAAAACATGGAACAAATAAAAGCTGCACCTGAAGCAGAGAAAACATACCAGGGAACTCCAAATCCATTAGCCACATCTTTCATCCCAGTAGCAAACGTATCAAAAATAAACCCAGCAAGTTGAGGAGAGTCGGGACTCAACTGGGACTGAGTTCTCATCTTCGAAACATATTCTTCGACACGGGGTTTTTGGCTTTCAATCATAGAATTGAGCCAGTTACGGTCTTTAGTATCTTCTGTATTGGACTCAAGATTCGGCAAGTTAACGACTCGCATACGATCAGGCAGAGTTGATGCAGCAAGTGACTCGGTGTATTTAGTGGTGCTAGGATCAAGAACTGGATGCATTATGAAGATAGTCGTGGAAAGCCTGTCATCACGTTCAACAAGAAGCTTTGCTACCTCTACCAGAGCTACAATATGACCCATAGCAGGTATGGGGATTAACACCACCTCTGCTTTTTTCATTTTTTTTTCTTGAAAAATATTTTTTTTAGCAGGGAGGGTGTGGTTGGTTACCCGTAGGATGTCTTGTGTGTGGATTACCTTAGGATCTATCTTAGGATGTCTTTTGTGTGGTTGCCTTACCCGATCTATCTTGTCTGAAATATAACACACACACACACACATCTTGAAGGCCTAGAATTAAGAGTGATGTCATTGCTTATTG